AAATATAAAAAACCACCTACACTCTCTGAAGTAAGATAGACAGAAAAGTAAATACAACAAGGAGGAGACTACGGGTGCTGTAGAATGGAGCATAGGAAGCAGCTCACCACTAGGTCTCCGAATAGCGGGGAAACTTGCCTGGCTGGCCTCTAGATGCACCTGCCTCAGATCTTGCATATTAGTACTTCAATGTAGCGTGAGTACATAAACATCGCGTACCTAATAAGTATCTAGTCTAACCTCAAAGAAGTAGTGACGACATCGACACTTACTAGAAGTCAATAAATAACGTACATAAATTATAAATAGGCATGAAATACAACAATAATAATGGAATAGGAAACGGTAAATAACAATTCATTAACATAATATAAATTAAACCCCCAAGTATCACATACCAATTTATCATGTAAAAACCACCAAACTATTATCGAGTTTCAAGTCAAGAAAGAGATATCAAATATAATCAGACTCCTAGTAACGTCAAGCATTATTATGCCAAGGTCATACAGCACGATCCAGAATAGTGTGTACACTGCCGAGGGTTGACCGGCTCGAACCATAAATTTATCTAAATATACTGCCGAGGCGTTCGACCCGATCTACAGGAAATGGAAAAAATCTACAAACTCCGATCAACGACTACTACACAGTATTAATACTCAAAGAAGGTATAGTTTTCATTAACGGTCAAGTATTTCACCAAAACTCAAGGTAATGAAGCTCGGTCTCATAAAAACCCATGTCAAATTTCCGTTATAAATTCAAGTAACTAAACTAACAAGCTAGATTTAAATAATACAAGTATTGCATGGTAAAGTCCTAAGTCTACCAAAACATGAGCATGATTTTAGCTACTTCTGGAATCTCGTCACATCACGCGCATGTATCTCTCACAATTATTAGGAAATAATAAATTAAAATACCTATGGGGATAATTTCCTCTTACAAGGTTAAACAAGAGACTTACCTTGCTTCCAAGTCCTCTTCCTGATCCACAAATTACACTAAGAATCTCAAATCGGTGTCAAGCAATCTGAAACTAGCCAAAGGTCGTGCAAACTAATCAATATATGTTCAAAAGTTCATAATTTAACTATTAAAGTATTTACCAAACCCAATTTGGAAGATCCTAAAACTTAACCCCAGGCCCCCCGAGCCCGCATGCCCAGATTCCAAAAAATTTCGTAAATAAAATTACCCATAAGTTTATGTATATAATTTTACTCAATTCTACAATCATTTTTGTGGCCTAATCTCATTTTTACCAAAATCTAGGTCTTTCAATATTTCAATAAAATCCTAAAATTCCCACAATTTACATGTTTAAATCTACTAATAATCTATGTATTAAACTCACATTGGGTAGTAATTATTTACCTTATGATGCTAGGTGAAAAATTTCCCTCCAAGAGCTCCAAAATCGGCCAAGCAAGGTGAAAATGAGAGAAAATCGCCTAAGTCCCGTTTTTAAAACGAGTCACTGCCCAGGCATTACTTCTCTGCGATTGCAAAAAGAGCCTCATGATCGCGAAGACAAAATTCTGTCATGCCCTACCCTTCATAAATGCGAGCTCATCTTCGCAAACGTGAAGGCTACTAGTCTGACCCCTCCCCAACTGGTTTTCCATTACGAGATCGCGATCGCGACCCTTTGTTTGTGAACGCAAATGCTAGTGTCCCCAAAGAATTACGATCGCACCTCCTCTCGTGAATGCTTAGAACAAAAGTCCCCCAGCTCAATTCCTTCACTGTGAACGCGAGGCTTTCATCGCGTTAGCGAAGAAGGAAACCAACAGCAAATTTTTCTGCAATTTTGACTCAACCTCAAGTGGTCCGAAATGCACCCAAGCCACCCGAGATCCCGTCTGAATGCACCAACAAGCCCATAAACATGATACGGGTCTGCTCGAAACCTCGAATCACATAAAACAATATCAAAACTAACCGCACCCTAAAACCAAATTAATCAACTTATGAATTTCAAACTTCTTCAACTAGCTCTGAATGCGATGATTCATACTTAGACAACTCGGAATGACGTCAAATTTTACGCACAAGTCTCAAATCACCATAAAAATCTATTCCCAGGCTCAGAATCACAAACGGACATCGATAACACCAAAATCTACTTCAAACTAAATTTAAAGAACTTGAAAACCTTTAAGGCATTAACTTTAGATATTAAGCGTCAAAATGCTCCCGGATCACCCGAAACTCGATCCCAACACATGCTCAAGTCCAAAATCATCATACGAACCTATTGGAACCATCAAATCCCGGTTCCGGTATCGTTTACTCAAAATGTTGACTCAAGTCAAACTTGGCCATCTTAGGCTACTATTAAGAAACTAAGTGTTTCGATTTCAACCCGAACCCTTCCAAACCCAAACCAACCATCTTTGCAAGTTATAAAATAATAAAAATATATATGGGGAGTCTTAATTAGAGGAACAAAGATCTAAAAATCAAAATAATTGGTTAGGTCATCATACCGACAAAATTACAAATTCCGAACACCCATTTTAATACGAGTCCAAATATATGTATTTCATCCAACTCCAACCTCAAATCGACCTTGTATCATCAATTTTTACTCTCCAATATCATAGTCCAAAAATTCCCAAATTTCACCTTTAATTCAAATAAGCTGGTGTATTAATCTAAGGGTAATTTATATCTAACACCAAAATCAAGTAAATATTACTTATCCCTTTAATTATAGTGAAATGCCTTCCAAAGATTGCTTGTAGCCGAGATCCACAACTTTAAATAATAAAAAATGATCAAACCCTTCGAAATATAAAGTCTGCATTCCGCATTTGCGGTCCAAATCATCGCTCCTGCGGTACCACATCTACGAAAATTCCACCGCAGATGCGAAAGCCACTAATCATCCCGACCAGTCGCTTTTACGAACACCAAGCCGCATATGTGGCTCCGCTTCTACGGGAGTCCTTGCGCTTCTGCGCCTGTGCATCTGCGCTCCACTATCCGTATCTGCGAACTCAGCCTACCCAGCATGCACCGAATCTACAGCCACCCTAACCACTTATGCGGTCTCGCACCTGCAGCTCAGCCATCACAAGTGCGAAAGCAAAACAACTCGGAAATTCTTCAACAATGCCAGCATTGTCTAAAATGGTCCAAAATCAATTCGAAATATACCCGAGGTCCCCGAGACCCCATCCAACCACATCGACCAATCCCAAAATATAAAACGGACTTATTCAAAGCCTCAAATCACACAAAATAATATCAAAACTATGATTCGCACTCAATTCAAACCTAAGGAACTAATGATTAATGAACTTCCAACTTTCAAAATTCATACCGAACCAAATCAAATCAACCCGGAATAACCTCAAATTTTGCATTAAAGTTTCAAATGACACAACGGGCCTATTCCAACTTCAGGAACCACAATCGAACCCGATATCATTAAAGTCAACTCCCGGTCAAACCTATGAACCTTCCAAACCTTTAACTTTTAAATTTTTGCCAAAAAGCACCAAATCAATCTACGGACGGCCAACCACAAATTCGGACACACACCTCAGTCTAAAAGTCAAACTTCGGTCAACTCTTACAATTTAAGCATCCAACGTTGAGACTAAGTATCCCAATTCAATTCAAAACTCTCCCGAAACCAACCAACCAACCCCGCAAGTCACATAATCACAAATGCACATGTGTAAAGTATCAAATATGAAAAATGGGTCTAAAATACTCAAACGACCGATCGAGTCATTACACAACTACTAGCATCGGAAACTGCAATCGCTACCACATTAATCAACTCCACATCATAACTATCTCTACTCTCTATCACCACCACTACAATAATCACATTCACTATCAAACTATCACCACTATTAACTGCCACAACCAACCCAATCACTAGTATCATCAACCACCACCAACCAGACAACCACTATCACTAACTATCTTCACCATCATGGCCACCATCACTGTCAACCGCAACCAGCTCCCCAACACAATCACCACCATCGCACAACTGCCGCCACCACTATCGTCATCACTCTCGCTGCACAACCACCACTATTAGTCACTACTGATAAAATCATCACCACCAATCACTACCTTATGTTCTAATATTTTGATGACGCAATATTATATTATTTTATTTAAATTTTATATTTATTAATTTTAATAAAGATAATATAAACTTTGAGATGTTTAAAAAGAAATGGTTTTAATTATTTAATATTTAAATTTAAATACGACATCTTAGTATTTATACATGTCGAATACATACATCTTACTCTTAAAAAGAAGCCCTTATAAATAAGAGCTTGTTCCATTGTTTTGCCCTTTCCTATCATTCTATCCATGTGTTAAATATTTGAAATAAAGTTGGAATCACTTGAAGAAAAAAGGAAAAGAAATGATCCTCTCAAATATATAGGAGTATAAAATATGTTCCATGGATAAACATATTAAATGGATATTATTCTCCTACCTGATTTGTGAAGTTTCATTGAGGTATTAATAGTCGAATATCAAATGTGTCAACAAAACTTTATAGAAATGTGAGCTACTTATTCTTAGTTTTGTTTTTCACAAAACCAAATATTCTTAAAGCTCATTTGGACATAAGAATTTTTTCACCTTTTTCTTTATAAATTTTTATTTTTTTCGAAATCAATGTTTGGTCATAAAATTTTCAATTTTCACTTGAAAATGAAGTTTGAAATTTTTCGAAAATCTGAAAAACTCCAAAAACTGTTTTTCAAAATTTTCATTCGGATCACTCACAAAACATAAAAAACAACCCAAAATTATAGTCATATCCAAACATAACTCTAATTTTCAAATACCAATTTCACTTGATTTTTTTTTTTTTTTTTTTTGAAATTTTACAATTCTAATGTCCAAACGGCCACTTTAGTTTTGTTTTTCCGCCCTTCTCCGTTCACATTATAAAAATCCAAATAATTTATCAGCTTTCCCTCCAAGTCACACTCTTCACCCTCTGCCTCAACTCAAGAGCCTGTTGCCGCTAAACTTCAAAAATTGCCTTCAGAAACTCGCGAAATTCTGTACAAAATCTACATTTCATAGTTCCACGCTTACAGTGTCTGCAAAAATGGAAGAGTATTTGCAGTGCATGAAGACTCTCCGCACTCAAATGAACGGTAATCATCTCGCCTATCTCCACCATTATGCATTTAATTTCTCATCAAATTGAGACTAATTCTACCGAAATTGTTTACTCAAATTCGCAAATTACGTTCGCATTTGTGTATTCAGACTACGATTATGCATCTGTACTGTATGTTCGCCAGTAATTAATTGTGTATACGTACGTCTGTCAGTGTGTATAGTGTGTGATATGTGTGTGGAGAGAGTGATTGAAATTGAAATGATGCTTTTTATTTTTTAACTTTTAGATGTGGAGGATCAAGCAGCTAAGATAACAGCCGAAGAGCAAATGCAAATCACGATACTGCAAAATCTCGAAAATGAAATTAACTCAGGTTAAAACACACACTTCATCTATCTTTGCATAAATCGAATTTTCTGGACTTCCTGTTCTTTGCTTTGGTGAAGATTATGGATCCACTGGCCAACTTTATGGTCTGTGTACAATATTTTTATGTAAGCAGGTGCACTTTTAACACCTGATTCTTCGTGGTAGCAGGCTAATGATGTAATGCAAAAAATTAGTCAGTTTTTTTGAAATATTTTGGAGAAAGTAGCTATTGAAATAACTTTAGCACCTAGATCCGAATCATAATATTCAAGGCTGTTCAGTTCTTTCATTGTTGTCAAGTTGTGTCATATCCGATGTGTAACAGAGATAAATATGTGAAAACCCTATAAAATTTCAAAAGATGTTATATTTGAACTCATAATTTTAAAAGTATGATGATTTCAATGCTAAGGTGGGCATTAGATTAGGAATGAAGATATTCGGGAGAAGGTGGGCGTGGTTCCTATGAATGACAAGATGCGGGAAGCGAGGCTCAGATGGTTCGGGCACATACGGGGGAGAAAGCCCTGATGCTCCGGTGAGGAGGCGTGAGCGGTTGGCTTTGGCGGGTACGAGAAGAGGCAGAGGGCAGCCTAAGAAGTATTGAGAAGAGGTGATCAAGCAGGACATGGCACGACTGTATATTTTCGAGGACATGCCCCTTGATAGGAAGGTGTAGAGGTTGAGCATTAAGGTTGTAGGTTAGGAGGTAGTCGAGCATTTTTCTACTTCGAACCGGGGGTGAGTCTAGTTTGATAGGGTTGACCTTAGATGGCTAGTGGTTAATGTTGTGTTCACACTATCCTTTCGTTTTTCATAGTACCGTGCCTTATTTGCTGGTAATTGTTATTGCATGTCATTTATTTTCTGGTTCTTATGTTGCTGTTATTATTTCTATGGTTTCTGTTGACGGTATTGATATATTATCTTTTCTCGTCTTTTACGTCTTCTTGAGCCAAGGGTCTATCAGAAACAGTCTCTTTGCCCCATAGGGGTAGGGTTAAGGTCTACGTACACAGTACCCACCCCACTTGTGGGATTTTACTGGGCCGTTGTTGTTATTGTTTGTTTTTGATTTCAATGCTAAAAACATTAAAGGTCGAATGCATCGTGTTTAAATCATGGATCCGTCTCTGGTAATATTTTTGGTGTCTTCATAACATGGATCTTAGCCTTCCTACTCCTGTTTCATTGATTTACCAGAAGAAGAAAGATTGCACATGACTTGTTTGAAGTCCATGTATTGTGTGGAAATTGTTAGGAAGCTCTTGTGCCAACTTTAGTTTGAATATGCTTGATTAGCTGGTTTAGACGTCTCATTTGGTGAAGTTATGCTATTGCTAGCTCTTATTATATATTTTGGTTTTCTGGTTTAATTGAAAACTTTGTTGCCAAAGAGTTCATCTAAGATCAAGGCCATGGACAATATGTATAGTAATCATGTAGCGTGGCCAATATGCCCCGGGCTTCTTAAACAAGGATTTCCACTAGCAACACTTGCTGTTTTGATTTACTTGGCCTTTTCCATCTTTCCTTCTATCACTGTTCTTTAGTGAAGCTACGGTCCTAATGTTTGATGCATGACATCTTTGAGGCATGCACCAAATAATAAGATTCAGTTACATATTTACTATGATAGGGGAATGGCAAGAGTCCTGCAACGGTTAAAGCTCTTTTTTTTAAAAAAAAAATAATCCATGTGCAGTATCCTTTGCAATCTTGTGTTTTTTTAATTCTCTGAAGAGTATAGCATTTTGTCCATTTGTGAGTATTTTAAGAGATGGAATAGAATACCTGTTTATATTCTCTCCTAGGAGACATAAGTCTGTCATCTCCTACTCTCTTTGTAGTTTTTTTTTTCTTTCTTCTTTGATTGGGGGCATGGCTGGATACTTCCCGACTCTTTTTTATTTTCACAAGGTTGAAATCATTAGATTTTACTTTGACTTTGCTTCTCACCATCTCTTGTAATTTGGTCTATTAAATGAAATTGCAGATTGTGGAGCTCTTAATCTTAAACATAGTTCTCTACCTTAGAGAGCATTGGTTTCTCCTTTTCTTCATTTTCATCTGATAAGCAAATATTGCTTTCCATGTGGAATAACAGAACTCTGCAACATCTAATCCTTTCTTGATAAGTAATGGTAAGAGATTTTATGGATGAACCTGCTCTAAGCCAGTGCATGATTACAGAAGGTGCACTTGCTCAATAGCATCTAACTTTGCATCTACATCCTGTACAAGAACTAGGTTGAACCAATGAGCTATCAAAAAAATACACCTGTTGCTGTCTACAACATCTAAGCCTCATTCTTTGAACTGCTTAACAATGCAGTGAAATGTCAGACAAGCCATCTCAGAGAGGAAATTGCTAGGATATTGGAGAAAAGGGGGCAGATCTGTTCAGTGATCTTGGAAAAGCAAAGAAAAATTGCTTCTCTAGAAGCTGATTCATCCACCCTCAACCAGGTAACCGACACTAAGAGCTGGAATCAATTAACTCTGAAACAGAGCTGAAACCAAACACATCACCCTTGATGGGTAGGATTAGTGATGTTTTGGCATGTAAAACTAAAACCAGAAATAGGTACTCCTGTTCTCAGCTTCACAATCATGATCCAACTAGACATGGTTTCTACATCAGAAATTTATAAGTAAATTCGTTTTGACAGAAAGGTTAGGGCTAGTTTCCGATTTTTCATTGTTCAGAAGTGTGGTTGAAAAGTATGTAAACAATGAAAATGTGGTCTCGTCTTTCTCCAGAAACATAATGTTGAAATAAGGATTAAGTAATGCATATTACTCAAGTAGAAACTATTATCTGACTACTCGAGCTATAAACTACAATGTTCTTGAAGCTGGGGAAGTACTTAAATGAAGAACAATCCTTAGAGTTATAACTCTTAGCTTTTCTTGCATAGAAGGGAGAAGAGTTTTGGTTATTTAGGGAACAGGTTTGCAATTTTTTACTTTGCATAAACTTGTCTTTTGATAAGGAAAGTTGACTTAGTCTTTGGAGATCATGTGATATAGCGCATATTCTTCTATCCTTGTTTATCAAACAGACATTGGAGCTCCTTCAACAAGAGAGAAACAACATGTCAGCAAAACTTATTGAGAAAAGGTAACTTGAAAAGCATATATCGAGATTGCTGATGGATAGTAAATAATGCTAAAGCATATGGTTGTCATAACAGTGATTATTATGCTAAGACTGTTAAAGATGTAACTGCTCAGCTAGGAGAACAGCAGGTCATTTTCCAGGTTCCCTTTTTTGTTGCTTTCCACTTAATTTGTTCACTATATGAGCATTATTTTGAACACTAGTAAGGTTCTACTTTTAGGGTTGGATCAGAAATGGCAAAGAGAACTCGTGCGATAGAGAGCATCGCGAGGTATTTCTGCTAAGTCATAATGTCTTCTTTTTCTGAATTTTAGTTCTCTTCTTTATGGATTGTCTTGGAATTATAAATTTCAAACTGATAAAACGAGTATAGATTTTAAAATTTGTGTTTATATATACCCACAATGAGGGGAATATCAAATGTTCAAAAGCCAGGTCAAGGTAAATGCCAGAGGCATATTCAACAATTAAAAAAAAAATGCATATATTCGATTCCAGCCTTTTATGGCAAATAAGATCCTTGTGAAGTATCAGAAATTACTGAGAATAGTAAGATTACAGTTTAAGTTATGTTATCCTTATCCTTTCAAGTGCAACAGTCGAACAAGTTGTAGGATTACAAATATTCTGAGTTTTTCAAATGCAACTGTCTAACTGACTTGAGATTTAAGAAGTCCAAGGTTTGGCCGAGACAAAATGAATTTGACCTTTGCAATGTCTGGGGACCAAAGCTGCTTAGATTCAACTTGTTATTCACTCAAGTTATTTATTTTTGCCCTCCCTGTAAGAATTCTTGTCCAAAGGCTTTGAGATGTAGTGGTTTTGGACTTGATGTATTATGATTTCACAATATTTTATAGTTTCTTGTGGTTCTCAAATTGAACATTTTTGGTAAATTTTGTGTATGAGCCATGACTTGTGATGTTACATTCAAGTTTGAGCATAAACTAACTGGTAATATGATGTTTCCTGCATTAACCCAAGTTCATAAATACTCCTTCAACTAATCTCGCAGTTTTCATTCCTTTGCCAGTATGATATATCAATAAAGTAACTACTTACTGCCTAGTCAGGCTGTCATTCTGTCACCAAAATATGGGAAGGAGTAGCTTTTTTCTTGGCCAAGATGCTAGAGTGTCTTATCTGAATACGATTTTTACTCTATGATAAATATTCTGCTGGAACTGATGGCTAAAGCATTCAGGTGATGGACAAAATTGGTGAGGAAACAGGTGAATTTGAAGGTATGACCAATGCACTGTTAGTTTAAATTCTCTTTCCATGATGTCGGTGGGTTAATGTAAATGATAAAAATGACCATTTAACAACAGGAGCATCTTAATTTGCTACAAGCTAAATTTGGACTCACTCTGTAGACTATATGTTCACCACTGCCTGAGTTTCTACTTCTCTCTCTTTTATCTTTTTTCTTTTTCTTGTTGGTCCTGTTTGAAGTAAATTCTTATTGATTTACAGAGAATCAGGATAATATGACAGAAATCCTAAAGATGAATATGGAAGATGCTAGAACAAAGCTAAACCAGCTGAGTGAGCTGAAGTCAAAACTTGTCATGGAGAACAGCCAGGTTTGCTTAAACAATTCTGACTATTCTGTTTTTGTGTGGTACTTCCTATTCCTAACTTGAGGCACTGAAAAACAATGATGGAATCAAACAATATAGCGATATTAGCATTAGTTGTTTGTCATGAATCATCCGAAATATATCCTCAGTCTAGATGCATTTTCTTACTGAGTCTCTATGTTGGTATGTCAGTATGGAGGTCAGAGATGTTCAACGGTGATCCTAAAAGTCTTTCTTCCTTTTCTAGCGGTCGACTCGGTTCATTCAAATTGCTTCTCATTATTGAGAAAATAAAGATAAAATACGAGCGTATTTGATAGCAATACTGCAATAGTTATTAATCATTGTTGTTTGAAGGTTAATCTATTAACTCGTCTTGATAATATTTTTCCTAGTTCGCTAATAAATCAAATAATTAAATGCATATGTTTATAATCAATTCGATTCCCCAATTAAATCGGTGGAAAACACCTACGAAATGATCGCTTGAATTTAAGAAGAGGTCGGTTGGATTTATCCATGGTTGGTTTGTTTAATTCAAAAAAAAGATTTATATAATTAAAATACTAGTACATAAAAGAAAAAAGAAAGGAACTAGCACCCTCTGGATAGAACAAGAAGTGATGATTGCTCCTTTCTTTTCAAAACCTCCTATTGGAGTAGACTGGGATCTTATCCATTTGTAGATGGAGCTTCAGTAGCAGCTAGGTCTAGAGAGAAGTTATGAGCATTGTGTTCGTGCATAACTTCTATACCAAGGTTAGCACGGTTAATGATATCAACCCAAGTATTGATTACATGACCTTGAATATAACTACAGATTGGTTGAAATTGAGACCATATATGTTGATACCTAAAGCGGTAAACCAGATACCTAGTACCTGCCATGCAGCTAGGAAGAAGTGTAACGAAACAGATCATTTTGTGTGGTTTCCCTTTCCAACATTTGAAGGTAATGTTGACCCTTACCCTCAGATTCTTCTGTTTTAAAGCGGATTTGTTATAGGGTTATCATACCCCCTGTATTATCCTCGCTACTGAAGGTGACCTCCATGGAGCCTTTGTTGCTTTGCTTTATGGTTATTTATATTCTTTTAGCCCGCTCTAAGATCTCAGATGGTTTAACAATGCCTAAATCTCGAATTGAGAAAGGAAAGGTCTTGTACTTTTAGGATTTTTATGAGGGAATTAACACCTGAATTTTTCTCAGTTTGTTTCTGATTCAAATACATTTATTTTCATTTCCCGTTGAAATACAAGAATCTGAAAGACATCTTGCTTTGATAGGTAAGGAGATCTCTTGAGCTTGTGAAGTCAAAGATGACGAATTTCAAGGTCAGTTACAATCTGTTTTACATATATTATGTTCAGTCTTATCTCAAAACATTCTTTTTCTGATAATGATAACAACTGTTTGTTAAATTCATCTTGTCATTTGCAATTACGCAACAAACAGGTGTTTTGGATATAGTTGACCATCAAAATACGTCCAATTTAACGTATTTGGGAGATCAGAAAGTGGAAGTCATGAAATATATTGTGCGGAAAAGAAAATGTTCATAGCTTCTAGTTTTTGAGTCAAAGTAATTGAAACGAAACATACCTCCAAATGTCTATCATCAATCATTATGCATTATTCTGCAGGCACCACTTAGGGAAATGGATAGCAAATCCTTAGAAGAGGAGTACGAAGCACTTCTCTCAGACAAAGCTGGAGAGGCAGAGTATCTGCAGTCTTTACAACTCCAGATTGCAAAATTGATGGTACGGAGAAATATCCACTCTTTCTGTGCCCTTTGATATGTCATTCAACTTGTGGTAACAATTTTAGATTTCAAAGAGAATCAAAATATCCCAATTTATGGAGTTAATTTATCAATTTGTTTTTCCATTTCACTCTCAATTAGTAATTTTCCTTTCAGAGAATTTCCCACAGTATCAAATGTTCTTGTGGAGAGGAGTTCAAGATAGACATGGATCTTTGTGCATGAAAATAACCAGGGTCAGGCAAGTACTTCATCTAGCAAAGTGGTGGAGTTTCTTTAGTGCTAAACAGGTACATTTGTTCAAGACAGTTCGAGAGCAATGGGGAAGATAATGCAGGGACACTGTAGCAGTTGTTGAGATGGCAATATAATGTGTACTCTGTTGCAGTAGTAGCTGTGTTCGATGTAAAAGATACTAACTGAATGCTAATAGAGTTCTGCTTGACTGAATAACATATGCATGACTGAACGTAAGCTGATTCTTTCTCGTATGGAGAATTGGATATTTCATCATATTTGTTTTAACTTTGTGATATTTCAGAAAGCAAAGTCTAATAGAAAAGAAACTTCGTCATCTATTCCGACAACTTAGATTACTACATTTATGGAGGTGCACATTTGGTTCAACACATTCAAGCATGTGCAGTCTTCATGAGGTAAATTGGTAGATGATGTTGTTTTCTGTATCTATAGTACACTAAATTTGAACATGAAAATGCAGTCCTCTAATAGATATCAGATAAAAGTTTATTATATACGTTCATGTGCTTTGAACTCTAGTTGTACTATGCACTTGTATATGTAACTTGATTTTTTTACAAAGTATAAGAATGAAAACCAATTTTTCTCGCTTGCTTAAGCTGTGAAAATTTTGCCTATAAGTGAAATAGAAAATGCATCATCCAAAAGTTGTCACATGACCTCTAACTTCTCCAAGGCTCCAGAGATATCCTGGGGTTCATATCCTTCAGCTGCACGTATGTTTGTGCTATCTCGAGGCACTACATCATCTGTTCTGAAGCTGTCTTCATTGTGAAGAAGCATCTCACTGGCATATTCCACACTTCCTTTTAGAATAACAGTCTTGTGAAGGCCCACAAGCAGGCCTTCATAATCTGTATCTCCCTTTTCCCCAACAAAAACAACCATACTGGAAAGATCAACTCCCCATCTAACTGACAGATACCTGCATTGCATGCAGAAAATGAGTGAGTGATTGTGACAAATTTTATACTGAACTGATATTACTATCTGCTAACCAAAGAACAGTAGTGTCACCAGATCAAAGATTAGGAAAGGAATGAAAGGATTTACCTAAGTGCTTGGGACCTCGATGCAAATAATGGTGTCACATTCAACCTTGATGCAGCATGTGTGTAAATAACACTGCAA